CCAATCAAAACAACCAGCATTAAGGGTAGTCTGACATGTCCCCAACTTCTCCACATCAACCAACAAGTCACCATGTTGACCCGAAAACCATGGGAAGCAGGTTGAGAAAACCCAACATTTCTAGTTCTGAAGCTGCCACTTAATTTCTGCGAACCCTCGTCCTTTCCATTTGCAACTTTCTATTAACTGGAGAAAGGGAACAGATGGATCTGCAGAAGGTGAGGCCGACAACATATCTGATCGATGTAGCATGAACCAGGCCATCAAATAAGTATAGGGAAGCTCCGCCTTTGTGAGAGGAATCTGAGCTGACGGCTTATCCCCCTCCCCCCTTGAGTGAACACACTCACAATCTGACGAAGCCCTCGGTAAATATCCGCGATCATCACTGGATGAAGAGATAAATTCTTTCGATGAGCAAGTAAGACCATGGGATAAAGAACCTCCATAGACAAAGCATCCGTAGATTGGTACGACACCACGCATTTCTTTAACCAGATAGCGAGGTAGCCAGCAAGCAACGTCATGGGCTGGATCGGCTTCGTCACTTGCCATAAAGATATTTGGAATTTGGTTCCAGCAGGAAAGTCACCTTCAATGCCAGCTGTAGTGTAGGACTAGGCATTAGACTTTCGGATTAGCTCATTTACTTCTGAAGGTGTCAACGGTGTTAATCCATATATCGCCTCACCCAAACTGCTATCCAGATTCTTGAACAAGTAATCTGCAAACCTTTTCAGACTTATCTATGGTCGCGGCTTCTTGGATAATGGATCAGCACCTGCTAAGGCTATATAATAGTGGCAGGTGAGATCCCAAAATGTGTCGTAGCGATTGGGCGTCCGCAACTTCAATTGCTGTAGCTCCTGATCGAAAGAAAAATACTCCTGATAAATCTTGTTGTCCATTGGGAGTCCTAAAACCTTATGCATCTCGTGCAACGCCAACCCTAACTCCCCATACTTGGTCAAAAATGTGTTGGTGTCGGGGTTGTATATCTCTAACAGTGCCAGGAAATGGGGAACACTGATTGTCAGTCCATATGTAGTGGCACAGACTGCCTCATATAGACCACTCGCCTTCAATTCAACATCAAACCGGTCCAGGATGTAATGGCTTAAGCGAGTCCACCAAAGCTTATCCGACGAATGCACCCAACCAAAACACTGTTGACCAGTTACTGGCATCTCTCGACCTAAATTCACAAGCCGATTCTTCACAGTGTTGGCAACGGTGAAGACTTCACCTCTAGGTGGGTCACTCAATCCCAAAACCCCCGGATGTAGCCCTATTATTCGATTCTGATCACTTGATCCAGGAATCGCGCCATGGGTGATGTATCCGCAATGAACACGGTCGTGTTCCTCTTTTTACCCCCACGACATTTCCCACGGGACAGCCTGGCATCGTAATTCTGTAAGCGAGCGGTGACGGGGAATTGGAGGGAGGTATAGATGGCCGTCGTCATCATGATGCAGCCATTGTTCGGCTCTAAGAGACGCAGCAGCTGGATCTTCGACAGAGTCGCCAAACACTCCAGCTTCCTTAACGGATTTGTAGAACTCGGGTCCTTCACTAAAGGCACATCCGTAATCAATTGCCTTAAAGTACGATGCTCTCCCTTCAATATTAGTAGTGGAAGCTCTTCTGGGGCATCCGGCGCAAACTGAGGAGTCGTCGGTACAGGGATAGGCTCATTAGTGGAGGCGTAAGCCTCACTAGAGCGACTTTCCACTCTGAGAACATTGAGTGCCCTCGAGGAAAAATTAACCGAGGTAAACAATATATGATTATTTAACACGGATATAAATACCTATGTTGAGGCAGTATAAGCGTTGAACTCATCTCACGAGCTGTGAGATAGAGTCACGACCTTATAAATGGCGAGACGATCTCAATCACATCATGCACATAAAGAACAAGTCATATTACCGTGCAAATAACGCGATAACATACCCTAGCCCACGTAACGCGACACAACATGAGATCGCCCCATATGCCTTAAAACGTGTTTCGACCAAGAGAAACACGTCTTGTGAAGCGTCCACCCCACGAAAGAGGGTGGAGACTCTTCCAATTACCTCGCTAAGGAGAGGTAAATGGAGACATCACACAAAATATATATTCATAATGAATTTTTTTAAAGAGAATAAAAAAGGGGCTTATTAACTAGGCGAGACGATTAAGAACTACGTTATACACACGAAGTATGGGATATGTCATCACACAAACAACACGATAATATACCCGCCCTCCGGAATATAGCGCAGTAGGAAATCGCCCCAAGTTAATTCAAACATGCCTTGACCAAGCAAGACATGTCTTGTGAAGCGTCCACTCCCATGAAGGAGAGTGGCGGCTCTTCCCAATTGCCTCACCAAGGAGAACAAAGTGGGGATGCAATATGCAGCATGATATATAAATATTATATTCAAGAATAAAAAAGAGGTGATGAAGTTATACCTGTGCAACTGAACGGTGTCGGCTCGGGCGACTGAGTCGCCGAATGACCTCAAGTGACGTGGGATATCTTAGGTGACATATCTGCAAAAAGAGTTTACAATTTGATTACGTCAGAAGTTGAGAAATAGCAAGCTAATACAGATGGAAAACTATGTTAGTCTACGAAATAGGATTTATCGGTTAAAAATTCAACTAAACCTACATAGTGGGTCTGATGCAGATTCAGTTTCAACCCATGACGGCTCAAATCAAACCAAATATCTCAGAGGTTTGGTTCAAGATATGCACGTGGCCAAACAAGAAAACTCGATGTGCCTACAAATTCAATTTCCGTGTACGATTAAAAGCCCAAAGATCACTAGCCTAAATTAGACTAAATTCGTGCATATAAAGGTCAATCATGATTACAGGTCTCAAAAGGTTTTTTCAGTCGGCCACAAAGTTAGGAGTTGAGAACCTCGATGTTTCCTGCAAATTGAGAACTCAATCCCCACTTAATCCTTCCTTACGGGAATTTGTCATGAAGACTAAACCAAAGTAAAGAACGACAACACCAAAATCAAGAATACAAAGCTTAGTTCGTACATGAGATGTGGGAAGAAACGAAGCTTGGATCTAGGGGGAGGAAGAAGCCGACTCAAGAACCTCGGGTACCTATCAAAGAGGAAAGAAAAGGTGGTTTAGTGGTGTGTACAAAGAGAACTGACGAACAACCCAAAACCAAGTTGAGGCTGCAGTTTCCTTTTTTAGTTGCTTTTTTTCTCTAAAATTCAAAAACTAGGGTTTCCAATATACCCCTAAGAACAAAAATCATCAAAGAAGAATTGAATAAAATTGGAGCAAGGAGACTGGGACTTACTTGGAATCTTTGAAGAACAGAGCTTGGCCAAGAGAACCCACAAGCGCAGGAGCCCAAATCAAAATCAAAATGAAACCATAAATCCCAAATTGAAGCCTCAAGATCCAAGAAGAAGCCCTAACTCTCAAATAAAATGAAAAGAATTTGAAGAAGTCGAGGGGTTTAAAGAGAAAGGAGGAGGGAAGAAACGAATTTTTGAACTGAAGAAAAGATTCCGAAATAAAGAAAGGAAGAAGAAGAGATCGGACTTTTAAAAGAGCCCTGAACTGAACCAACCCAGTTCGAACCTCCCAAACCAAGCTAAGCCAGACCGAACCAAATCAAGACGTCAATCAAAAAGTTCCTGTGCTGACTCGCACCCATGCGAGTCACCATATGGTGACTCGCACCAATGCGAGTCACCAAGTGGTGACTCACACGTGTGACAAGCTGTTTGGCCAATTTACAATTATTTTGACCCATTTTCGGGTATTTTCAACATATACATGACCCGTATTCATACTCCGATATGTATATGAGTCTATACTATTACCTATCTTTGTCGGGAAGTTTCTGGAGAATATTATTCAGAGTATTCTTAAGGATAACCCGGTAAAACTCCCATGAGTATACGAGTATAAACTGGTCCTCCTAACTCCAATGCCTTAAGAGTTTAAACTGTGTAGATTCCAATTAACGTACAAGTATAAACTGTATTAACACCGGTCAACACGCCGATAACTTCACCAAAATAAAGCTAAGGGAAATTACAGAGTTCAACTACATTCAGATATGAATTCCTGACAAAGATGATCAGTTCAAAGTCAACTCGATGGCACGAGCTGAGTTCAGAAAATTACACATCAGTCTCAGTTCAAGACTTCAACAGCGGTCAGACGATCAACGCAACACCGAAAGAACTTCATCTATTTGATAAAATACTGAATAGATTGAAGACCAAAGAAGCTGAGAGCTGAAACCAATTACAGCTTCTATCATACCGACTGAAGGTTGGGCCTATCATATCCAAAGTATTCCAGACTCTTCTATAAAAGAAATGAGACTGAAACACTTTTGAGGGGGTATCTGTAGGCGTTAAAAATTGCCTATGGGTTCCTATACGCAGCTCAAGACAAAGAGAACATGATGAACGTCATCACTCGAGTCAAAGAAGATTATCTGACGCTAGTAGAGCGCATGAAGCGAATCGGTAAGGCGCATAAGTCAATAAAGCAACGAAACACACGTAAAAGGGGAAAACAAAGCAACAGGAGATAAACTACTGCTGCGTTTTGTTTCATAAAGTTGTAATATTTACTTTTCTCATTGTAAGAAGATCTTATAAAAAGATCAACTTGAACTTATAATCAATAAACGGTGTAACAGGTTTGACAACAACGAAAACGATAACTTTTGACGAAAACATCAGCTCACTCAGGAGCCGACCCATGTCCCCAGGTTCTCCCTTTGTATATGCAGCGGAGCGCTGGTTTCAGTTCATGCCTGCAGCTAAGCTGCATGTTCTGCGTAGCCTGGCAATGAGGAACATATACTCTTGGGTATGTACAGCTTGGTTTTTTTGTGTCCTTCTTGAGGCGACATTGCTTTCGATCAGCTTTCTTCAGCTTGATATGTACATATACATCAATGTCGCCCCTCTTATACAATTTTGTTTTTCAGCTCACTCGGGAGCTGACCCATGTCCCCAGTTTCTCCCTTTGTATATGCAGCGGAGCACTGGTTTCAGTTCATGCCTGCAGCTAAGCTGCATGTTTTGCGTAGCTTGACAATGAGGAATAGATACTCACTGGTATTTTATTAGAACCTTTCATGCTCTCCTTTGCTGTAGAAGTTAGTCATATGACCACCTTTCCTCATTATGTGATGAGAAAGGAGACACGGAGAAGGCAAAAAGACCTTGGGACTTTCTTCCATCTGGTCATAAAATAGGAAAACCTGAACCGGTGTTCAAAGAAATGGTTGGTACATCCTATTGTTCTGATGTTGCTTCTTTCTTGTTTGGGTGTTGCATCATGTTTTTGTCTACACAACCAGTGACTAAAATTTATGTGCAGAAAGATGAAGATGTAGAATTTTTTAGGCAGAAATTTGCTGGAAGTCAGTCTGATAGAATCGAGAAAGTAGAAGCTGAGGCGAAGATTGCTGAGAAACTGAAGTCCACAAAGATTTCAGGTACATGTTTGTATTTTTCATGATTAAAGATACTAACTTGCAACACTGTTGATTATTATTTGTGGTGAAAAATCATATTAACTATAACTATTTTGACGGCTAAATACCCATATTGGTATTTTATTTCAACCCCATTTGCCAAGAAGGTATTTTAATTAGGAAATTCAGCGTTAAGGCATTTTAATTGAATAAAATTACCAATTAGGTCTTTTTCCTCGTCGGCGACCACTTTTCCGGCGACCCCCTCTGCCCCAGCCACCCAAGCTCCGTCACCAAGCTCCAGATCCAACCGCCGCTGCCTTCCTTCTCGTCTCCAACAGCCAGCGCCTCTCTCCCTCGTCGTCAACCCCGACGAGCCCCACACCCGCCATCACCGCCTCCACCCCATCCCCCTTCCATGCTTGCAGACCAGCCCCACGACCATCTCAGGCCAGCCCCTCCACCTCGCCACTCTCCCTTGTCCCGCTGCCTCCTTCACCATCACCGAGCTCTGACGACAGCAACCACATTCCCCTTCTGTCCACGACGAGCCCAACTTCAACACCTCCATCTCCTCCTCTTCCCTCCACTCCCCGCCTTCATCCCCCAGACCCTCCCTCTTCCTCTCTCTGTCGAGCTTCCCCACGCCGAACTTGCTGCTGCTCAAGTTCCCGCCGACCAGCCCAACTCCGAGCTTCCCTTCGCCCTCAACTTGAGACCCGACCACCTCCTACCACCGCCAGTCGTCGCCGTCCTCTCTTCCCCGTCGGAGACCACAGACGCTACGCCGCCGCTCCAAGCTCTGCTACCCCTCTTTCCTTTCAAGCTCAGCCCGCCCTAAAGAACTCCCCGCCGTCGCCGAGTTCACCCCGAGTCCCAGCTCAGATCCGCGTTGGTCAGAAAATAGTGCCACATCAGCAGCTTAAACAAAGATTAAGCCACCGCGTGCAACGCACGTGACGAGTTCTCGCCGGAAAAGTAGTCGCCTACGAGAAAAAGGACCTAATTGGTAATTTTATTCAATTAAAATGTCTTAACGCCGAATTTCCTAATTAAAATACCTTCTTGGCAAATGGGGTTGAAATAAAATACCAATATGGGTATTTAGCCCTATTTTGACTGTGAATTGTTAATATCCGTTTTTAGCATTACATTGATTAACAATCAGAATATTTGGGGAAGTTTGGACATTGGAGTAATGGTGAGTGTGCGTGTGTTGTTGTTGCTGTTGTTTTTTGGGTGGGGGGTGAGGGATAATTAATACATGCTATGCATATGCAATTAATAATAATGAGGCAAATATGTTTTATTGGGAGTGGAGTTGGTACAAATGCAGACAAAAAGCAAACTGTATCAATGGAGGACAAATTGTTGAAGTGCATGTAGAGAGTTTGCCAAATAGTGAAAACATGGATTTTTTTGAGTAATTATTTTTATTTGTATCCAGGATGAGGAGCAGAAATTGCTGAGTTTTTACATGCATTTTAGCTGAGTAAGAATGCCATAAGGATTCTTACATATTGTAGTTCGGAAGCTTCATGCACACATGTTGATGAATTATTTTTCTTCATTTTATCTATGTTACGAGCATTGTAACTGAGGATAAAAACATATTATGATAATTTCATCAGATTTTTAACCAATAGGTTGTCATTGTCTAAAGTGTGTTCAATCATGTTGCTGAGACTGAGTATTTGGATGTCTACAACCTTTATCTCTCTTGTCTATTACCTCTCTCAGGAGATAGAAACATAATACAAGACAGCTCACACTTTAGTGGTTGGAGTCATGTGCTTACTGATTGAACTAGTATGTCATTTATTACCTTTGAAAAATAAGCCTTAATTAGCATAGTTTAACGAATCAACCGATTCGTTACTTTCTGAACTTGTATGCATTCTGCTTCTTGTTACCTCTCGTGATTCTTGCAGTACCTGCTTTAATTTCTTTTATAAACTTCTGATATGTTCCAGTGTGGATTTTTGAAGAGCATTTTTAATTAGGTTGGTATAGTGTCTCAAATTGAAAGTAACATATGCACAACTTCCGGATTCTGAGTTCAACAACACTTGTATCCATAAGTTGGTGTTTCTTAGTTTTACCTATTTTCTGTTCTCCTCGAATATTATATTGTGTAGATTTTAGAGTCTACTAATCCAGTTTGATATGTCACGCGTGCGAACTCAGATGTGGCCTTAAGGCAGTATGTGAATGCACATATGTACATGTGTGTGTGTGACTCGAATGCTAATCCGTGACCTTAAGGAAGTATGTGAACACACATATGTACACGAGCACTGGCACGTACAAGTTCTTTTCCTACTTTTTGGGTACAGATATTAATAGTTACATGCATATACTAACAATTCTTTTTTCTTTTTTTAATCTGGCGCAGAAGGGAATGCAAAGAAACAAAAGGTGAAGTCCATAGGTGCTGCAAAACCAAAGCCCTCAGAAGCAGAAATTTCTGTTTCTAGGCTTGACATTCGTGTAGGTCTCATCAAGAAAGTTCAGAAGCATCCAGATGCTGACATTCGTGTAGGCTTCGGCGTGAAAATAAAGTTGCATATGCTAATAAACCGTTACAGCGTATCCCAGTGGTGAAAAGATAAATACTTGGAGTTAATCTAGTTAAAGAAATGCTTGAATTGTGTTCTTTTGGTAATGGTTTTTATTTCATTATCATTTTACTTCACTTTATTTTAGAGCTGCATGCGTGGGTATTGTTGGTTGCTTAGTTGAATTTACATTTTTTATTCTTACAATTGATTATCTTATTGGGAAATTGTTTTCCAACTTTCAGTTACCTTACCGATTTATTGGAAGTAATACACTTAGTTTTGCAGCTTATGGACAAGCTGCAGGCACGAGGGTATGTTGTCGTCCATTTTTTGAGCTTTTAGATGGCTTATAAAATCATAACATAACAGATGAGTCCTTTCATTAATATGCATTAGTGGATTTTAGTCGACCCAATCATATAGCTTTTACTTTGTATTTTGCTTAAGTTAAGCATATTATTGCCAAAATTGTTGATCAGGGTTTTATACATGCATTACTAAATTGAGATTTATTATTTTGTTAGCAAGGATAATATGTAGTTAGCCCTGTGGATAATATATGTCATTTTAGATTAACCTAAAAAATGTAAATAAAATAATTCATAGAATATTTCTTTGGAAACAAGCATATCTTCAGACTTGTGCATGAAATAAGAACAATGTTCGAAATTGCTTCATTGGACCATGATGAAATCCTTGAGAACTAAGTTTCTTCAAAGGTCAAACTATGATGGCAAAAATGGATGAAAAAAAAGAGATGCATTGTGTATAAGAAAGGCCTAGGGGCACTGTACAAGCAACTTTTTTACACAGGCAAATGCCCAGCCCCACCCCGAGCCATCATCCATTGCCCAGCCCGACCAACTAGAAAGCCCTCATATGATCGGGAGCAGCGTAGGTAATAATTTCAAAATTTTTTATAGAATATGATATATGTACACCCAAAACTTTTTATAGAATGTGTAGCATTTCTCAAATAATTTTAAAAATTTTTGATGCTGCTTTATTCTTGTTATGCAGGAACTTGGATTTGATTATCTTGGGAGCAGAGAGCAACTTGTCACGAGGTTACAAGCAAATTGGAATATTTAAATATTTGTTCTCTACTTTCTTTTCTTTTATCTTTTCCTCTCTTTCCATTGTGTTTTTTTTCCTTCATGGATTACAAGCAAACTGGAATATTTAAACTCACCTTTGAGTGTTGACTTGGAAATGAAAATGAATGTAACTATTTTGTAATGGGAGCAAATTCTTTGTTTATCATAATATGCAACTTGTTTGGAGTATAATTTGATGTTTGGTTTATTTGTTGATGTGAATGGGAGCAATTTTTTTGTGGATGTTCAGGTTTAGTGTAGGCTTGTAGTTGATAAAAAAGATATTATTTTTGGCAATGCAAATTAGTGCCGATAAAAGTATACTTTTTAGCGACGTTATCTTGTGTCGCCAATGATATAGTTTTTTAGCAACGCTTCATTCCGCGTCGCTAAAAGCTACACTTTTGTCGATGCTAACTTACGTCGCCAAAAGTATAACTTTTAAGCGACGAACAGTTTTGCGTCGCTAAAAGCTATACTTTTACCGACGCATTGGCTTTTGCCGATGCTGCATGCGTCGCCAAAAGTATAAGTTTTGCCAAAGCACTTTTGCATACTTTTGCCGACGCAAAATATTATGCGTTGCTAAAAGATATATTTTTCCCGACGCATGAAACGTCAACAAAAGTGTTGGCTTTTATTGATGCAGTGTGTTTGTGTTGTCAAATATTTTCCTTGACGCACTTTGACGCGTTAGCGATGCTGCATTTTACGTCGGGAAAGATTTTTCCCGATGTTTTTAAAACTTTTGTCGATGTTTTTGTTTCATTGGCAATGTTGTATTTTGTTGTAGTGACGGAAGGTCTGAACTCCGTGATCATATTACTTGTTTAAGTTTGCATTGGCGTACTTGTAGGTGTAAATTTTGATCTCCCGAAAATAGGAACTTTCGTTTGTATTAATAAGAATGACTTATTACAAACTAATCAATCGAAATTACAACAGAAGCGGAGGGAATGCCCTCCTTGTTTAACGTGGGGACTTTCGGTAGCTACAGGATGCTTCGCTCGATTCTCGTGCCGAGTTTGCTTCCCTTGGATGATTCGACCAAGGTTGTTGGAGAGCTTCAGTATGCAGTAGAAGCTCAGGTTGATGGAGTTCGAGTCTCCGAGTTCGGCGGTGATCAGGGCCCGAAACTGGGAGAAGATGCTACAGTGCAAAGGTTATGCAAAGAGCTTGTCGTCGACCCGATTGGGAGTCGAGAGCTAGTGGTTCAGTTAGCTGATTCAACTATGGGCGAATCGTTGAACGGCTAAAATAGCTGAACCTCTTCTTCGTGGCTAGAAGGAAAGCTGAACCCCTTCTTTGTGGCTGGAAGAAAAGCTGAACCTCTTCTTTGTGGCTGGAAGAAGTTCTTAAATGGTGGAGAGACGGCGTGGTCACTCCTTGAATCATGGGATATGACCATGTACTGATGAGAGATGTCTTGCCGCCCATCTGTACTACGAACGGTCATTCGAGGGGTTGTGCTTCATGCCATGTCACGTAGGAGTGGGAAGGTCCATCCTCGTATGTGAGACAACGGCTGCCCACTACTCGAGTGGATTTGGCCAGCTTACTGTGCGCCGGCAGATCCAGCTCTTGACTTGGACCGATGAGCTGAGTTGTATTTATGAGCGCGCAGGTTGGTTTGGCGTCTGTCCGATCACTCGTACTGTGAGCGGCCACTCAACGGGCCTGGAGTACTGTGCCCTCTCCCTTCAAGTCAAGAGAGGTGAGAAAGCGGGTGCCCAGTACTCGAGTGGGTTTGGACAGCTTGCCGAATGTCGGCGGATCCAGCTCTTGACTCGGACGGGCGAGGTGAGCTGCATTTACGAATGTTCAGGTTGATTTGGCACCTGTCCGATCACTCGTACTGTGAGCGGCCACTCGACGGGCCTGGAGTACTGTGCCTTCTCCTTTCAGGTCAAGAGAGGTGAGAGGTAGGAAAGCCCGCCCCGGCACGTGGGGTAGCGGATATCCAGCTATACTGGCGACCTTGAGGTTTGCAGGCGGATTCGACTTTAGACTCGGTCAGGCGAGTTATGTGAAAAGGCGAATTTCCGTTATTTAGTCGATCTTGACTCGTGCGGGTGAGCCGATCATTGAGGCGAACCTGGGACTAAATAGACACGAGCGCGTTTAATGACCGTGCGGCTTAGGCCCGTGCTGACGAATTGTGTGGGCGACTTCTCCTTGGAGGCGAATTTCTTGTAAGGTTGCAGCGGTAATTTTTACCATCTACAAGACCCCCTTCAAAGTTTTCAGACCTAAACCGGCTTACGTGTGGTCTAGAATACTTTGAATAAAGAAGTTCCTGGCGAAACAAGTGTATTTGGTTTCCTTTAGGATTTTTAGCAAACCCTCAGCTATCAACGGGTTTGATGCGCCTTTACCGATTACCATTTGAATCGGGCTAGCCATACTATTCCCCTTAGTATGATGAGTTGTTGAGCAGTTTCTCTTAGGCTTAATGCTAAGATTTCTGCTCTAACCCTTAGCCGTCTGAGGCGTGGGTTTAAACGAGGTCATTCCATTGGCGTTATTCGTAACTTGCCTTTAAAGGCGAATGAGTCGTCCAGGCGAAATTCATCTTTTGAGGCCAAATTTCGTATGACTCGCGGGGTTAAGCCAAGTTTTTGCAGGCGAGACCCTTCTTTTGGGCGGAACTGGACCGGACAGGAGGTGAACCACGTGTCTGCCGATAGGGCTTCGTGCTTTCCAGCTAAGGACGCATGGTGCCATCGGGTCGTGGTGATCGTGATTCGACAGTGTGACGTCAGCTTCGTATATCTCACTCCACAACGAATCGTGGCCATGGTTTTCAAATCTATCTGTTAGATTAAGTCGCGGATTTCTGTTCGGGTCTCGGGCTTTGACCGGCCTGTTTCCTTTTTCGATGGCTCTTTCGTGACTGCAAAACGAATTGCGGAGGACAATCTGGGCCGTTGATTCCGATCATGGCCACATCTCTTAACCGCGAGTGTTTCGCCTTTCGAGCACAATCGTGGCCACGCAAGCCCTTCCGCCCTTAAATAGGGTTCACCCCCCCTCCTTTTTTTTTCAAAGCCACTGTGCGTGAAAATTTCCCAAAGAGAAAGAGCTCCCGCTTCGTTCTTGATCCCTAGACATGGCACCGAAGTCCAAGAGATGCGTTGCAAAAGGAGGAGGTATTAGACGCTACTCCGATCGCCTCACTGCCGGCGCGACTGCCAACATGCCTCAGACGCGCTTGGGTAAGTCAAAAAGGTTTGCCTGACGACCTCGTGTTGGTTACCTATGTCAGGCCAAGAGGATGAGCATTGCTCATTTTCTCCGGTGGATTCTGTCGTCTTTTGGCAGTCCCTGTGATCTTGGTAAAATCGCCCCTTTTCAGGCGAATTCGCACTGTCGTCTTTTGGCAGTCCCTGTGATCTTGGTAAAATCGCCCCTTTTCAGGCGAATTCGCAGAGGATGATTTTAGCCTTTACAGGCGAAATTTGATCTTGGTAAAATCGCCCCTTTTCAGGCGAATTCGCAGAGGATGATTTTAGCCTTTACAGGCGAAATTGGCCTTTATCGGGTGAAGGCGAACTCGTTTCTTGACAAGCGAGTTCGAATTTTGTCTGGTAAAGACGAATGCAGCCTATATAGGTAGATCTTGTTTCGGTTGGGTGGATTTCACTTCCTGACAGGCGGATTTACATTTGCCTCTAGGGGGGATCCCGTCCTGATTCTTTGATTCTGTT